ACATGGGTACTATGCAAGCTACTTAACTTCATTCATAGCATAGATAATTAAAGAGGATTAATAAAGTAGAACTTCCCCCACCTTTTCAGTAGAATGCTCGGCTTAGACTTGAACTTGAAAGAAATCTCGAGGGCTCGACTCCTCGTAAAACTACATTCATTGGGGTCATGTCTTAGTGTCTTAACATGGAACTTATTCTTATACTTATACTAATAATCAATAAATATGCTTTAGAAAAACTTTGCTCGCTTGGCTTCGCCTTGCTTGCATTCTTTTGAAAACATTCTTACTTAAAGCATTTGGACAATCGAACTCCTAGCTTGCTTGCTTACGGATACTATTCTAATCGCCTAAGGTTCATCATGATCTCACTCAATGCTTTACAGCTCATACATATCACATAAGCATGCTTTATAAACAATAGACTCACTTAAACAATTACACTTAATTCTTTGACAAAACTTAACACGTGCTGCATTTTTAAAACGAGCATATCTTTCAACATACAAGTCACATTAATATGATTCAATTCTCATATTGCTCCCAAGACATGGTACTACAACTTTCATTTAGCACTCAAAAGCAAATAAGGTCATATTCATGGTCCAAAACCAGCAAACATTCAATGCTAAAATACTGTCCAGAACTTTAAAATAAATTCATGCGCAGTTTCACGAAAACAGGTATCATTCACTACTCGGACCATATTTTTGCTTGATTCCAGAACCACATGGAAGATAACACATAGAAGTACAATTTCAATGAAGACTTCAGGTTCATTTGAGCACATTATCACATCATAAACACACAAAACATTTAAACCTAACTGCAGTCGAATTAAAGAAAAACTGCTCGCGCAGTGAATTTGAAAAATCATAAGTTATTCGTTTTAAGTCGAAATTGCACGATTACAAAGCTCACGTAAACAAAACTGAACGAACTACATATCATATGAAGAACTCGAAAACCGAAAACACAGTATCAAAGGCCTAAACTGCTCCCGAACAGACAGCACGTAAACAACAATTACACATGAAATCATACCAATTTTCCGAACTTCTTAACATGTCGAAAGCAACATATAATCGATGATTCTAGGCACGTTTATCACACAATAAGACACGATTATGAACACATAAATTAACGACAATAAACCCTATTCACATATCATTAAAACAATCCTTTCGGAAGCCCGGCAAGGCTCCGACCAATTCCAACTCAATAATAACTCGACAATTATTTACTCGGACCTTAAGCAAGCATACGAGATTCGATTATCAAGTCTTAAAACATTAATAATTCTTACATAACTTAATCGATTTTAAATTAATAGTCCATAAGAGGTTAAGACGTTAGGGTGTTACTGCTCGGAAAAGGATGACGGTAAGGGTTCGAATGAATGCTAGGTGGACTTGGCCGTGAACGTGGAGGGGCTGTTTGGGAACAATGAAGGTGGCTGCTCGTTCGTGGAAGAGGACGGTGGTGAAGGAGGCTGTTCACGGTGGCTGAGGGCTGGGGCTCACGGCAACGGAGACTTGTTGCGTGGTGGCTACGGCTTGCGTCGGGGCTCGACGGCTACGGTTGACGCTCCGACGGAACTCGACGGGGCTTGACGGCTACGATGGGTACTCCGACGGAACTCCTCGGGTCCCGACGGCAATGGAGCTACGATGGTGATGGTTGCTGAAGCTTGCGGTGATGGGGCCTGCACGGACGGAGCTTCGTGGACGATGAAGATGGTCGGAGGAGAGGGACGATGATGGCGATGATGACCTTGAAAAAGGTGGTCGATGGCTACTGCTCGTGGAAGGAGGTGGGCGATGGAGGCGCTGCGATGATGGAGCTTCGTGGAGGAGGTTTGCGCGTGGAAGATGATGCTCGACGATGATGGAGAAGGACGATGATGGGACGCTGTTGACGAACGATGAAGGTGGCGATGAATATGGAGGCGGCTGCTTGTGGTAGGGAGGAGCTCGATGGTGGTGACAATGAAGACTGTGATGATGATCGGTAAAGATGAAGAAGAAGAAGAAGGTTAGAGAGAGAGAGACTGCCGAGAGAGATAAATATGAGAGATGTGAGGGAATGGGATTTTGGTACCGTATTTAACAAGATGTCTTGAATATTGGGGCTAGAAAATTGAGATTGACTAGGATTCTTACTTGCTTGGATGAGGGATTAAAAACATCGTAAGGTCTGGGATTACCATAAGGCTTAGAAAAATTGGACTGATATTTTTAGCTCAATTTATCATCTTAATTATTATATCTTTAATAATTAATTAAAATTATATTAAATAAATTAAGCCATCTTATAAATAAAATTTATATTAACATAATTGCATTTAATACTTAGGAAAAATTAAATAGATGAGGACATCTAAATAATTTTCTTTTAATCATTAACTTGATAATTAAATAAGTGTGGACACTCACTTAATCATTACATAAAAATCGAGCTTACAATAAAAAAAATAACATTGTAAATCATTAAATTAAACATAAATAATATCCATGAAAATAATACTTAAGCATAAAATGAACGACATGAGTTTGGGGTGTTACAATCTACCCTTCTTAAAAATTTTCCGTCCCCGGAAAAAGTTCTTATTTCTAGAGTTCATCAAACCTAAGAAACGGCTTAGCTTCTAATTACTTCCAACACTTCCATTCGAGTTAAGCTCCTCCTCAGCTGGCTCAAGTTCAGTTGAGTCTTCTTCAGTGGTCTCCAATCCGGTCTCCAGTGGGACTTCCTTTTCTTCATACAAGTTGCCTACTTTCAGAACTAAGTCGTAAAAGCTGACCACATCCTCCTTCTTTCGGTTCCCATCTCCCATACCTTCAATTAATAGCTCTATATAGAGTTTATTGACATCGGCCTT